TAAGCTGACTCAAAAACATTACGATTTTCATCCCTTATACTCTTAATAGTTAAATCAAAAACCTGATTTAGTTGTTGTATGGCCACGTTAAAAGCCTGAATTTGTTGTTGCACATTCTCAGTATGTGAAGTAGAACTTCTACCTCTCACAGAAACAAGAATGTAGCAAACTGCGCTTACACATATTACCAAAAAACCACCCAGAAGCACAGTCTGTAAAGGGATGGCTTGTAAACCACCCATGTATGTATACAATAGTAAAATCACATGCCATACACCAGGCTTCATCAAATTATTTATATTAATGAAACTGGTGGTGATATTTAATGGAAGAAGGCTGCTCAAATTCAAGGCCGGAAGGAAACTGAAAGAACTCAGGCTAGGGATGAAACTGTATAGGCTCATGGTTGAGGCCATATTTGAGTCAAAACACACCCACAAGGGCTGTACGCACAGGGAAAAAAACAGACTTTTCAGGACTAGAGACAAATATTATACTGCTAGTCCTGCGGAACTAGTGCGCTTATGGTGACCAACGCAAGGAATGTTACTTTGGGCTGGTCAACCGCGGGTGTAACTTGGAAACCACGCTGGGCGCCAAACTGTTATAGAGCAACCCCGATACAAAACGGGGTGCCTGACTGTGGGTCCTCACCCGCGCGCTTAAAAGGACTTATCAATGCTCTACTGCAGGCACACGTGAAAGGTTAATAAAAGGTTTATTTACAAGGGAAAGGGAAATGAGGAAATGTACAGCTCTGGGAGAAAAGTGGGAGACAAAGTTTTAAATGCGTCCTACCCGATCCGCCGATCAGGAATCCCAAAATGGCGCTCTGAGAGCTGGCCGCCAGCCAGGAGCGGTGAAGCCAGGAGGCGAGCGATCGCGAGCCAGAGAGCGAGCAAGGCCCACGTGTTTGGTTTTTATATCCAACCTGGCTGCCCAACTCCACCCTCAGGTCCCAGCCACCCTCCCCTTGGTGGTGATGGGATTTGTCTTTCCCAATGTCCTGATGGCTTTAGTCTGGAGTGGGGGTGGAGTCCACAAAGCCTGTATGAGATTATCTCAGGACATCCTTTCCCCCTAACAACCTCATCGTTGCTCTGAGAATAAAGATGAAGTTCTCAGGCAGAAAGGACATGTTTGCAGGTAAACCTGTCCTTGGATGGTTCTCCCCAAACTACATTCTTCTGGGTCATAAAAAAAAAAAAAGTAGAGCAGTGATTGGCTCTTTGGAGAAAGGGCAGTCGCACAGGGGATGAGGGAAGACTGGGGCAAGGACAAGAATTTCTTAGACTCTAGGGCTTTCATTGCTCTTAACTCAAAATAATCCACATGCCAGCATGAGGCGTCGTCACAAAATGAATTCTAAGAATCTTGGGGTGATCTGTATTGGAAGAATCTTGGGGTGACCTTCACTTGGAAGCAACCAAGATGGCTGTCAGTGGATAAGCAGTATGAGGCATCCAAATAATGGACTATTGTTCAGAGACAGAAAGGAAAGCTTTCAAATGAAAGTTGCTGAATGCGGGCCTGTACCTGACAGCACAGAAACCAAAAACCATGCCGCCAACTTTTGAGAAAAGCTGTTGAACACCAGGTCACCTGGCAGGAGATTGGACACAGGACTCTCAAATCAGTCTCCCTGAGGATAGGGCTCGAGGCAGTATTTGGGGGGTTGAAGAACAAATATAGAAAATGTATTTTGGGGGTCCTCTCTGGTAGCTTAAGGGTTAAGTCTCAGCACTGTGACCACTGCAGCCTGAGTTCCCTCCCTACCCAGAGAGCTAACCTACATGGTTCAGCAGAATTCTCCTGTCTAGCCCACTGCTCCCCTCAGCAGTGTATTTCAGTCAGCCTGCCTGTTCTGTTCCCCACTCTGTCTCTGGTGAATCCTCTCATTCCCTGTTCCTCTGGCCTACACTCCAGTTCTACTACACAAAAATTAAAAAAGAAAAGAAAATATATGATGGTAGCTTCTGATGAGCTGCTTTAAGCTAAATCATGATGTCACTCAAATGGATCCTGAACTGCAACAGACTGAGCACCCTTTCCAACTGAAGTTGTCCATCTAACCATGAGTCAGGCATTTTAATTCCATTTTCTATGGCTATTTTTGATCCAGAAAATGAGCTGTCATCTCAAGGATAGTGACTACTATTCTGGGCCTGTGCTCTGAAACATAACTTAGCAATTTATGAAAGATTATGGACTTAAAATGGATGGGAGCATTTTGGTCCCATGGTTATCAGCTCACCCTGCTGTTCTTGTGTTCTTGCAAGAGAAACAAAAATAGAAAATGATCATGTGACCAGCAGAGTTTCAAAAGTTTGCTTCGATTAAGAAAGCTTCTAAAAAATATATGTATGCGTGTGTGTGTGTGTGCGTGTGTGTGTATATCATTAGATAGCTAGATCTATTTAAGTGCATATACAGTTGATATATTTTAACACAGTAAAACAGTGATGGCTGATAAATATTTATTGAAATTAGACTTGGTTCCCAGATCCTTGGGAGACATCCATAGGTTGCAAAGCTGGCAAGAGCCTAGGTGATTTATATCTCAAAGGGGCAGAGAGAAAGAATTTATAATTATAAATTTTCTAAAGTAAATGCTTTAAGGGCCTACCCTGGTGGCATAGCGGTTGAGTGCTGGGCTGTGCAGCTGCCCACAGCCTCTACAACGCCGGTTGGATCCCCGGCCACCGGTGAGGGTCCCACATGGCACGACAGACCTCTCCTGCAGCGCCCACTGCTCCCCTCAGCAGTGTATTTCATCAATCTGCCTATTCTGTTCCCACTCTGGCTCTGGTGAATTCTCTTACCCTCCCGCGCTTCTGACTGTACCCAGTGCTTGTATAAATAAATAAACAAACAAATAAATAAACAAACAAACAAATATTTAACAAAAAGTAAATGCTTTAAGAAATGGGAGAACAGAAGACTATGATCAGGAAAAATCCCATCTAAGATTATACAAGCAGAGGGCAATCTTATGCGTATATAAAGCTTATTCAGAGATACCTTGATATTCATTGATCCTCTAGATTTCTAGTAGAAGATCTAACAATATTTTATTTAAGGGAAAATCTCCCCTGCTCCATTAGTTTCTTCTTGGACTGGTCAAGTAATCAAAAGAACAGGTAGCAGGAGAAAAAGACCAAATTTAGTTATGTACTTAGCTGTAAATTCTAGAGTAAAGCACATAGAAAAAGAGAGTTTTTATCCTTAAACTGAATGGGATAAGAGCCTGGGGTTTCAAAGATAGAGTAGCACCCTATATGATGGGAAGAGGGTGACTTCTAGGGCAAAACCAGATGCTCTGTAACTAGGTGTTAACCACATAGATTTCTCTATAAAGTGGTTATTTCTGAGATGACCTTAAACTGAGTAATCCTATTTCTTTTAGGTACTTAAGGTAATGGTAACTGTTTCTTTTGAAGTTCAAAGACCTTTGACCTTAGTTCCACATGACAAAGTGACATGTCTTGGAAAAAGCCTCTGAACATCTGGGAGAGGGCTGCCATTCATTCACAAAGTCTAAACAATGAGAATTACATTTGTGTTGCAAGCACTTAAAAGATTCCTGGCAAAATAACACAATAGGTATTGTTTGAATCCACTCAAATTTAGCCAGAATATTTAAACAGGAAGAGAGCTGTCATTTTAGTACATGGACAACCTTAGGCAAACTGAGGCTGGTGTGAGATCCATCTCCCGAGTAGGGTCAGACAGGCTTTTCTCAAGATATCCACAGTGGCCACTTCTGACCATATCACCTTGATATGAGAAGCTACAGGTCCACTGAGGCCCTGTGAGCCTGAGAAGTTTCTATCACTATTGCTTAAAGAATGCAGATTAAAAACAGGATAAATGTCCTGATTAGGACAAGTCACATGGGATCTTGTTAAAATGCACGCTGGAATTCACTGGGCCTGGGTGTCAGCAGAGGCCAGACATCTCCAACATCTCCCAGACAAAGCACATTTTTCTGGGGTTCAACCTTCCCACGCTCAGCGACTAGTTAGTAAAAAGTGCAAGTACGTCCCCATCTCCTTGGGACAGTCCTGCCCCAGGGATGGCGGTGGGAGCCAGTCTCATCAAGGGAAATTTGCTTTGTGTAAGGAAGGGGGCACCACAGCATTAAGGGGGAAACACCTGGACAGTGTTTTGCAACCTCCCAGGCTGGGTAGGTTGACCATGGGCTCTAGCAATTTGAAGGAGAATTTTGGAGACCTTGCCATCCTTTTCACAGGTTATAATGGTAAGCAGGGGAAACAAGCCAGCCAGGGAGACCCCAACCTTGCCCCTCTTCCCCAGGGTGACTCTGCCCTTTTATACCCTCCCTCTAGGCATACCTGCACATGTGCACACACCCACATGCCAAGTGTCCACAATCAGGCACACGTGCCCCCCACCCAAGTGCCTCCTGCATGAACACGACCAAGGCCAAAGGTAATAGCCACAGAGGCTAGTAGCAGAAAAAGCCTAATGAATTCACTGACCCTACAGACAGACTTATGGACCTCTACTCAGACTTGTTCAAATTCCAAGGAGTTATTCTTCCTAAAACTTGACTTCTTCTGAGTTTAAGTGGAAAGGCCAGGAAGCAACTGAGTGGCTTGGAAGGTGACTAACCACTTCAACAGTGACTTTCTGACTTGGAAAAAAAAGGTCGTTAGGAATGTGAGTTAGGTTAGGAGAAATGGCTAAGTGGTCCAGGTACTGCCCTCCTGCCTCTGCTATATTGGGAAGTGAAGAAAGGGACATTCCTACTGAAAGTAGGTGGAGTGAGTGGGGGAGTTATAGACTAGTGTTCCTGTTGTTAAAAGAAAACAAAGAGAACACTGTGTGTTACCCCCACACCACAAAACTGAAATTTAGTAAAGCTTTGCTTTCCCCAAAATGGAGTCTCAGACAATCAGTGCTGCTCAGCACTAGTTGGAGCACCTGCTTGATCCACCCTGCCAGCCCCCTGGGAGAGTAACCCAGCAAGAACCAACCTGGTTTTCTTCATCTTCCAGAACTTCCATTTTCCTGCTCTCTTCAGCCTATAAAAGTCTTCCATTATGTACAGCTCCTTGAGGCTCCCTTGTATCTGGTGCAAAATTCAAATTGATTTATGTTACTATAAACTCTAAACAAGATAAATGTCTCAATTAATCTTCAACTATGGGGTGATGTCTCCAAGGGAGCAGGAGAAGGGAGGAGTGGGCGTGATCGAGAATGTTTCCTTGGCGACCTACATGAAGGTCATGCAGACATCAAAAACAAATGGTTGACAGTAAAGATCAGACTTTACACCTGTGATAAAGTTTAGTGCTTTTGTAGCTGGAAGACCAGAGTTCAAGCTACCTGTCACCACCAAATGACAATAAAGTCGAGACAGGAATTGAATCTTTATAAAGTGCGCTTTACTCAGAGAGCCGGCAATCTGGAAGACGGGGGCTTAACACTCTAAAGAAACCGCCTTAACATTTCACTTCCAGCAGCCTTTTTACAGTGAGTTGAACAAAGAGAGTTCAGCAGTGAGCAGGCCTTCCCCACTGCCAGGAACTGGTGATGTCCCTGAGCTCCTTATCGCCCTCCGGGCCTCAGGTTCCTCCCACTGTGCTAAGGCTGGTCTGCACATAGCACTGCTCCCTGCACTCCTCCAGATGTGTCCTTCAGGAAAATCAGCTCAGAGCAGACAGGCCATAAGCAATATGTGTGTGCAGATTTCCTAGTATACCAGCTTAGTGTCTTACCCAGTCTCCTCCCCTTCCTTAGCCTTTATCACTTCCTGTGCAATACAGAACATAAAAACGCTAGATGTCTAATTAAAAATTGGACATTGAGGGCCTCCCTGGTGGTTCAAGGGGTGGAGCAGAGCACTATGAAGCAACCCGCAGCCTCTGCAGCATGAGTTCTATCCCTGGCCAGCCAGGGAGCAACCCACATGCCACAACGGACCTCTCCTGACTCGGCTGCTGCTCCCCTCAGCAGTGCATTCCAGTCAGTCTGCTTGTTCTGCTCCCCACTCTGTTTCTGGTGAATCCTCTCACCCCCCTGCACCTCTGACCTGTACCCCTCAGCTCTTGTATGCATTAATAAATAAATCTTTTTTAAAAAATTGGACTTCTAGAATAATGACTTATTTCCCCACTAGACAAAGTAACTAAAAATGAATGACACTTTTTCAATGAGTTTTTTGAAACTCATTATTTTAAAAACTTCCTATGCATATATACTTCATATATGTATTTTGTGTTTTACTTTTATAGTGACTCTCTGAAGTCGGGCAGACCACAGACACTGGGAGTGCCGTGGAGGGGGCCTAGCACAGCCAGGTGCTCTCTGACCTCTATTGCCCATGTTGACTCAGTCTCTACAAAGCACCTTATTTCCAGGGTGCAGTCTGATTGCAAAGATGATACAAACTGACACCTACTAAGGAAAAGCTAGGATTAGATCACAGTTCCGAGGTTCTGAACTGAAGATGGGCCCTCTCCTTTGTACTGGGCTGGCCTTTAGTGCAGGGAAGTCAACAATACGTATGAATTTGCCGTGGGACAAAAACAATGACTAAATGACAGAATGAAATAGAAGACTCTTTAAATATTGTTTAAGTTAGCAAATTCAAATTAGCAAATACTAGAGATATAAAAAAAAGTATTTAGGATTGTTAAGGACAGGCGAGAATTGACATATGTTAGTATCGTGACATTAAAATTGATACTGCTTTTCTGGAAAGCTATTGGCAAGATGTCTGGATCTTAAATTTTTTTAAACCTTAAATGCAAGGATAAACGATGTGGACAAAGATTCATTCCTCCTTATTTGTTTCACAGATACCACATAGATTCAATTATTTGTATGGTTAAAAATAATGGTATCATGCAGCATACACTCTAAAGTATTAAGGAGTCTATTGTTCTGGATTCTGGACTGTTCTAGGATAGTGTTAGCAGTCTTAGTGCTGTTTACACACACATCCTCGGGATTTCCTTCTTCCAGGAGCATGATAGGATGTAATTCTCTGCTTTCTTGAACTCAGGCATGGTCCTATGACTTGTCCAGTCTTTGAAAAACAAACCATGTGTGTTTTGCCAGAAGCTAAAAACCAATTTTCCCAAGTGTGTGCAATTCCCCCACACACCTTTCACACCTGTTATAATAGCAGCATTCCTGATGCCACCTTTCTTCTGCACCTGGCTCCTGGAGGAGCTGAAACTAGAAACTGAAACTAGAAACTCCAGTTAACTGTTTTGTTTTCATCATTTAAACCACCACTCCCACTTCTAAGTTTATTTCCCAAAGAATTGAAAGCCGTGATATTTATTTCTACACCAATAGTCATAGCAGCATTTTCCTACTAGCCAAAAGGTGGAAACAACTCAAATGTACATAAGCAGATGAATGGATAAACAAAATACATTTCTAGGACTCTGCCCATTTCATCTAGGTGAAGTTATTTGTTTTTCACTATTAAGAAAAAGAATGTTGCTTACAATGGGGACTATCAGCCTCACACTTTGCCACAGCCACCTCAAGAGTTGAGAACAAAAGAACAATGCCTGTACAAGCTGAGGAAAACAATGAGTAAACCACATATTTATACCCATCCAGTTCTCATGTCAGTGTAAAATCAAAACATACTCATAAATGAATACAAAGCATATAAATAACCTGCCATGGAAATCCAGCCAAACACTGGAGAGTTGAAAATAAGCAGCTCAGGAAAGGTGAAGTCCATGTGTGAGATGATTGGGACTGTAGATTCTCCACTAGGACTAATGATTGTGATTATTATTATTATTTTTTTAAAAGAGAAACTCGCCTCTGTCTCATGGGCATGACTAACAAGTAACCTCTCCCCATGACTCCAGTTTCATTTGCTTTGCCACCAAGAGTCACTGTGTTATTCTTGCTTTGTACTCATTAGCACATTTCTTTTTTTTTTTAAAGATTTATTTTATTTATACAAGAACTGAGGTACAGGCCAGAGGCATGGGAGGGTGAGAGAATTCACCAGAGAGAGCGGGGAGTAGAACAGGGAGATCTACTGAAATACACTGCTGAGGGGAGTAGGGAGCAAGTCAGGAGAGGTCTGCCGCACCATGTGTGTCTCCCTAGCCAACCAGGAATCGAACCCATGCTGCAGAGGCTGCAGACAGCTTCACAGCACTGCACTCAACCCGCTGTGCCACTGGGGAGGCCCAGCACATTTCTTGCCTAGATAGAGTTCAGTTTCATTCTGATCATAAACACCTTCTTTTTTAGGAAGAACTATAGGCGCCCTCTGGTTCCAGAGACCCCGATTATAGCCAGCAAAAAATGATCTCAGGCCCCGCCTTCCACCATCCTTTTAGAAGCCCTGTTCCCAGCAGGCCTCCAAAGACTCCAAGATGGAAGAAAGAACTTGTCTTTAATATTGAAGATTAAACTAAGTAGTTCATATGCTGGAAAATAAAAGCAAGTCTTAATTGTTATTATTTTAAAAAGGATGCTAATGTGGGTAAGGTAACATAGCTTGGTTCTTTCTGTGACAAAGGTATAAGTGTGTTTGATAGACTTTTAATCTGCTAACAAATACAAATTCAAGAACATTAAATTATAAAATTGACCAAGTGATGTCAATGTGGTAGCATAAGACAGCTTTGGCTTTGATCCCCTTTTTAACATGTAAAATTCAGCACCTGACCAAGAACAAAGGTGCCTCTGTGGGAGATGGGTCCCTAGCATCACACCCACCCCAAGGGCTCTAGGGGAGACTTGCTCAGCTGTGCACCAGACCATAAAAGGCAGGACACCCCAACAGGTGATGGAAATGGCAGGAGCCTGTCCTGGCACTGGGAAAATGCTGATACGGGTAGATGACACCCACAGGCAAGAGAACATTCACAGACGTACAGGTTTCAAAGAAATAACAGTGTTTCACTACCATCTGTGCAATTCAATTATTTATATCCATATCTATATCTATCCATATCTACATCTATATCACTATCTACATATGAGTATTGACTGGTGGTATGTTGCATCAGGCAACACCACACTGATAAAAAAATGGGAGTCAGGGAGCAGGCTATATAATGCAGGATGTTGCTGAAGAGCAAGATCCTGGCCTTTTTATTGATTATACAGCATTGGTTGTAAGGGGGAGGAGCAAAAGGAAAAGGGAAGGAGATTAAGGAGGATGGAGATTAAAGAAAGGGGAAGGAGATTAAAGAAAAGAGGAAGAATGTAGAAGATTAGGGATTTTGAGTCTGCCCTCCAGGCACTTCTTATCTGCTTGATGACTGGTATTGTCATTGAGATCATGCCCTAGCTCCCCAGCCACGGTTTTAATCTTATCAACAAGGAGTTCTACTGATCAGCTTCTGGGGTCCTTGTTATACATCGGCCCCCTGGGCCTTCCCGGTCCTACCTTGTGATGTATATATAAGTCTGGAGTACGGGTTATGCATCTGTCCTCAGTACCCCCTCCCCCGGGCATTCCTGTCATATCCCGTGATGCATAGCCTTCCCAGCATGATCCAGTTTTGTGCTCTTGTTTGATTTGAAAGGCATCTTGCAGGGCTGGGCTCCTCTACTAAACAGAAGGGGTCATTTTGATCTTGCTTAGGATTTAGAACTGTAGGTAACAAAATGGTGGCCAAACAGGCTGCTTAGGAGTAGCAGATCCACAGTAGTAAGAGAAACTTGAATCATTTCTCCCCCAATATTAAAGAAAACTCAAGTCCCGCCTAAGGGAGCAAGGGAGAGCCAGTGAGTGTGGAGTGCAGAAAGCCACTGTAGAAGCCATTCTCCCCCTCAGCACCCCAGTAATGAAGGGAAGTTTCTTGCCTAGGGGAAGGGTGGAGCTTGGGAAACAAACAGATGCAAATATCAGAGGTTTTAGGGACACAGACTCCCTGACTGTGTGCTGGATTCCAGCAGAAGGCACACCCAGGAGCTGATGGGAAGATCTCACCCAGAAATTCCCTCCTTTCCCACCCATCCACACCCACTCTTTGTGCCCACAGGCATCCTAATACCTCCACCCAAACTCCACTTCCTACTCTGGCTGGTACTTTGTGTCACTGAGATTAGCAGCACAAAGAACAACAAAAAACTAGACAGTAAGTACATGCGAAAATAACTCAGAGGGAGAAACCAAACCACAGTGTGGGGAGATAAACAACCTTAAGATTTTCTCCCAAAAGAGGGAGCAAGAAGCAAGGGGCAGGGGTACAAGGCCAGAGCAAGTGGCAGCAGACTGTCTCTCTCACTTGAAGACAGCAGTGAAGATTGCAGGAAGTGACTGCTAGTTCACATGTGGAAACAGGAATGCAACAGTCCTGGCACATGAGGAATCCAGGACATGACATCAGCCAAAGGGCAAAAGAATCCTCCAATAACCAAACACAAAGGCACAGAGATCTGGAATTTCCCTGATGAAGAATTCAAAACAGCTGCTTTGTGTAAACACAAATGATGAGAAAACACAGAAAGATAATTTAGGGAAATCAGAATAAACAGCATATGAACAAAATGAGAAATTTA